GTTTATTTTCACAAACATGTTTTAGTAGTAGCTTTGAGTTACTGAATCCTACAACTCAACTGTAAGCTAGAACTCCAAGGTTCTAGGCTTGGCCCAGGGACTTTCTTATGGTATGGCCTGAGGCTGGTCCTAGTGGTATCTACAAAATGATAAAAATACCTATTTCAGACTGGAAGTAAAATGAGAGGTCCTACAGGGGAATGTAGGGGACTTATTTTTCCAACAAAACTGGTACATTTGGGGGGTGGGGGGAGATGTCTCATACAAAAAATATTTGGAATTTGAATTCCAGATAGTCCTAAATTTAGCCTTAAGGAAATCGAGGAACTATCTATCCACAGATCTGCACAGCACTATAAAATCTAATTTCATTACAGTTAATGAATGGCTTTGAGCTGAGCATTTTTCCGGCTCCAGGGAGAAAAGGGAAAAAGAAATCCTAACCATTTCATTCACAATTGCAACTGGAAAGGTGGAAGTATACTGAGATGCCAAGAACAAGAACATCATCACCAGGCTCACTCAGTAACAACTGCAGAAGTGATAGGAATGGACTCCTTATCTGTGGCCATGTCTGGCAATCTGGAATGAAGCTAGATAAAGGTGATTTACTGACCAGTAATTCTGGAATGAAACCAAAGGCTACTTCCACCCCTCCAATATGCCCTTTGCCCACCTACATATAGTGTTAATTAATGATGAGAGAGAGACAAGGCCTCTAATTAACTCTATAGAACTGAGATTACCAAAAAGGATTCTCATTCCTCACTATGAAGAAACATTCCATACTCGGATGAGAGATCTAAGCACTTATGAAGCAGCTCCGGCAGTATCTTCTTTGCAGACAGAAATATATGGCCTTGAGTAAGACCTTTATTGTACCTCAGTTTCATCTTCTATAAAATGGGGCTGAAGGAACAGAAAGGGACGGAGAATACTATCTGACAACCCAGTCTATTATTTTAAACCTACTGAGATTGGGATGGGCGGTGGCGGGGCAGGGGGAGAAGAGAGATGAAGAGAGATGCTTATGTTTTTCAAGGACCTGGAGAGCATTTTGCTTAAGTCTAGCAAATAATGAAAATATTGGGCCACTTCTCTCAGATGGTTTTATAATTACATGAGGTTCATAATGTATCTTTGAACAAGAGAAAATGGAGCTTTCTGATTGTATCAGTTTGATAACCGTAAGCAGTTCACAGTAAGGTAAGAAGGTACATTTTGGCGGAAGCCAGCATTGCATTTGATGTATTCTTAACTCAGCTAACAGGCAGGCTTTCAAGCCATGTTATCTGCCCCCACATCTTGACCTAATTTAACAAGTTGCCATGGGAGCCCAGTGAAGGTTGATGCAATTTTCTTATCTTTGGAGGAAGAATGTAACTGTGCAAGAGAATGTGAAAATTCAGTTTCTAACTGATTTCCACACATACAGTGCAGTAACTAAGACATCGTATGAAGAAGTAAAATGCATTCTTTTGAAGGTGGTAAGGACCAAGACCGAGGCTCCTAGCATGATAGAAGCAGGAAAATGGACTCTCTTCCCAGTTAGGAGAATCTCTGCATACACCGTAGAGTCTGGATCAAGAGCCAGTGCAATAAAGCTACAAGTGCTCCTACTGTGTGACCACACACTGTGAAGAAATGGAATGCAACAGAAACAGGAGGGCAAAACTTCAGAAAGAAAATAGGTGTGACTTTTGCGAGCAATAAAAAGTTTTACCAACACTTATACGATGATTTCCATTTTCCAAAGTGCTTTTCCAAACTTCAGCTCATCTCAACATGTCTGTAATAAACTGGAGGCCCATTTATTCACATTCCACTCACTGCCTGCTCCTCAGGTGATGGAGGGACTGAATATGTTCCAGCCCTCCCCCCCCCCACAGGATGTATCAAAATGGTAAGTAGCTTCAACCAGGCTGCCAGAGCCAGGCAACCCATCTGCAGTGTGGGCAAATGTTCACCCAATTCTGAACACATGAAAAAGTCACCAAAACTTGGGCTGCCTACCACCTGCCTAACAAATCTGGACCCTCATTCAGAACATAGCAGGAAGAAAATCCAATTACAGTATCTTGAATTCAAAAAGACATTGACCCTTCAAAGGCCACTAAAGCTTATCTGCACTCAACATGTGCTCAGAAATATTTGTTAAAATAATTGACTTGTTGCAACTGAGCTTCCCCCACTCCAGCACCCAGTCTAGCACATGTCCAGCGCTCATTTAATTGATTGATTTAGTTCAATTACATTTTCACAAATCTCCTACCACCAAGATAAGGATGAACACTTCGACTTCACTAAAAGTAGAAAAGGGTACAAGATAAATTTGCCTAAAATCACACAGTGTGCTAGAGTTGGGAGGGGGCATGGAGGACTTCTGGTTTCTGGTCAGTATGTCTCACCACTAGTTAAGACAGTATGACATGTTAAATCCCCACTTACAGAAGAAACAACTGCATGGCAACAGGCTTAAAAAATGTTTTCTAATTCAAATGACTGCTTTACTCTTGGATAACTTTAACTGATCGTCACCCTCTCTTTCTTCCACTCACTGGACATTTTATCCCCTTACAAAGTGGGGGAAGGGAGGTGTGTGCCCACATGCATGCACCTATTGAAAACAATCTAACAAATTAAAATTAGTATTCATGATCTCTAATAAAACAAATGGTGTGACATCAGGTATAACTCTGACCTCCAGATCAGTTGTGCTCTTGAGCTTTTGATACCCTATCTTTTGGCTCTGGGTTTGGATTTCCAGAGAAACCTTGCAAGAGTGGCATCTTGGTTAACAATCTCATTGATGGCAGTCAATGTTCCTAATTTGGACTTCACACTCATTCCTAATTTTTAGAAATTCTAAGTCATCCTTCTCCTTCTATCCTTGAAATTGGGACACTTGGAAAGATCCCTTAACTTTCAGATAATTTTTGTAAATGAACTAAATTCATCTTAATCAAAATTCTTGACTACCAGCTCCGCAGGCATCTCCCATATATTATATAAAATTCAGTAATAAATATATGTAAGATTTTCAGAGGAGTTTCTATCTGCAGTTGAAATTGGGCTTTTATCATTTCTATATACTTTTAGACCTTTTACCATGGATCCTTACCAGAATCTTATCCCAGGAAGGTCAAACTCTACTGTAAGATTTTCTCTGGCAATAACCCAAGCTTTAGAATTTTAAGTCAGTTTATTCATTTTCATTATCCACAAAGCTGCCCTAACTAGCAAAATTTTCAGAATCCCTTCTCTAGCTAAAAGAGAATGATGAAAAACATCACAGGAGAAGAATTAATGATTGTATGGTTGTGGGCGTTGATAGTAGTGAGAGTGGTGATTATGTCAGGGAGAACAAAGAAATATCTTTAATAAGGAGAAACTAAATGATGATCTGGTTCTGAAAGTGAGGGTGGAAATTGTCAAAGAGCTGGCCTCCGCTCTTCGGCAAATTACGAAAGTATAGTTTTCCCTGTATCATCAATCAGAAGTGAACATGACCACTTAGAACTCCCAGCTACCTCCTAAGCCCACAAAGTCATTTTGGAACTAGGTTCAGTCCTTTCTTTCTCTTCCTAACTGGGCAGCACTTCTCCCTCATACATGAATGTGTCCAACTGGAGTTTATTCTTAAAATACCTGGAGGTTATGAGTACAGGAGTCAGCACTCTCCTGCATTTTGAAAGAGACTCAATATATATTTGGATATGGGCAAATTTTGGAACAGTCTATTGTCCGGAGATGAGAAAGAACTCCCTTGAAGAGCCGTGAGTGGCCACATATTAGAAATGTTCAAAGCGAATATGGTAACGAGAAGAGACAGGGATCTTAAGGTTCCTTCGCTGGTCCATGGCTCTCTAGACAGATCATGTCCTACCTCAAAACACAGACATAATTCATGCAGTGAGTGCAATCTGGGTGATTCAGAATGCAGCATAAAGACACACGCCTGATATTTGAAGGAGCAACTCTTCTAAATATTTGAGTTGTTCTCAAAGGTCAGCTGGTTCCCTAGCAAAACCCGTGACTGCCCTGATCACAAGAATAAGGATCTAATGCATTCAGAAGACCAAACCGATTTCTCAACAGAAATACAGATTTTGATGTTGACCCCACAAAGGGTCCCCACATGCTAACCTATCCACGGTGGAGCAAATTATAGGAAAACTGACTACTGCTAAGTATTGAAAGGTTCAAACAAGTTCCACTCACAGCATACTTTGTAATTTTTAGAAACACTAGAATTTTAATAAAAAGGATCTGATCACTGACAAATTAATGCTCCTTGTATATTTATCAGATGCCGTCTTCAAATGTCTCCAAAGTTAGGCAGCAGGTTCATTACAACCCACTCAGATAATGAATTGTTTTGCTCTATTACAGGATTCTCAAAGACCAAACTTTCCATTGACATCATCCTCTCTATATTTCTTCACTCACTGCTACTATAACTTTCACTCCAAGAAAACAATCACTAACAAAGCTAAGTGAGAAAAAGGATCTCCTATCTAGGCCAGGACTGGACAGTTTCGAGTGACTAAAGGTGCTTTTTCCCATGTGAAGAGCTAACCCACTGAGAACTCCACTACAGAAGAATCTAGAATGTAGGCCATTCCATGATGCCTTGAAGAGATGTTGTTGCTGGTTTTGTGTTTAGAAAGAACTCCCAATTAGGCAGAGTTTCCAGAAACACCAAATCATTATAGTTCCTTCCTTCCAGAATTGGAAAAAGGTTTCAATGACAAGTTTTTCCTACCATTCTTGAAAATGATCCCTTGGGGTAGAATGATAACATTTGCTCCCCAAATCCATAGCCAGTTACAAGCAGAGTGGCTTGAGAGACTGACCACACCTCTCACAGTCTCCTCCTCCCCACTCTCCCCAAAAAGAAAGAAGCTGACTTGAGGGCCTGGGGACAGGTGTGCAGTGTCGTCCACGGAGCCCCAAGGCATCAGGCACAGAGGCTGCTGAGTTGGGAGCAGAGTGCCTACCTGTGTAACCAGCCAGGGCAGCAGCAGGAATGACAGGCTTGTCCTTGTTGAGGTCAGCACGGTCACGCACATAGTCCTTGAAGGTGCCCTTGGGCTTGAGGTTGGGCAGGGCGGCTGGGTAGTCCTCGGAGTCGAAGCTGTCATAGGAGGGGACGCGCTGCAGGCTGTTGAAAGATGACTGGCTGCTCCAGGACTGGGTGAGGCGGTCACAACTATCGTAGCTCTCTATGCTCTCAAAAGAGTCCTGGCCCCCGAGTTTACCTGGAGGTAAAGGGGGAGGTAGGAAGAGGGCAGGGGAGGAGGGATTGGGAAAAGACAACTGTAAAAACCCTCTTAGTGAGGACAGAGTGCTAATCAGATCCGCAGAAGGGATGGAAGAAGGGACAGGCCTGTGGGAATGGAAGTTTATGGGTTTACTCTGGGCTGCGCTGCATATGGGGCCCCGTTCTGAGTCCACTGCCACTGTGCTTTTCTGGGTTACAGCTCCCAGGACAGAGACTCAGAGGCGAACACAGCTCAACTTTGCCAGAGGCAGATAGTATTTGGGACCCTAAGAATTCTAGAGCCTTGGATCCAATCAATAGACGAAGAAATCTTAGCAGTGTCTATTCCCTATTCCAACTAAAATCAGTGAGATGATTTCAAAAGGCCCGATTTTGTAAAATATTTGCTCATAGGAAAAAAAAAATCCATCAGATGAAGACCAGTAGATTGACCTTCCTTGACCTTGGAACCAAAGTACTATTTTCAACATTTTTTCCAAATACTATTTTGAAATGAATCATGCGTTCTGTCTCTATGCCTTCTTAAATAGAGAAAGAAGTTATCAGATGCTTTTTTCCAGAATTTTTAAAAAATAGATTTTTAAAAAAAATCTTTATCCTCTCCAAATACACCTTTGTACCTGATATATGTATTTCTTTGGGAAAAGTGTGAGTAATAAAAAACAGAAGAGTTGACTAAAGAGTTAATGTCCACAGCGATGTCAGAAATCCTTTACTCTGTGAGTTGCTTAAGGCATTCTTAACTGACCACAAGATCATGCAAGTTCATTAATTTCCCAAACCAGGTTATAAACAGCTGCTATGATTGCGTAATAGCTCCTAGAGAAATTTCCATTGGTAAAAATGCCATTTAGAAAAAGGCTAACAAAAAAATGGGGCGGGGAAGAATACATCCATCTAGGAGCTGAAAAGCCTCACAGGCATTTTTTAGGTTCTACTTTTAGATACTTTACTGGCAACCTGAATTAAATCATGAGAGACTAAACAGTCACCTCAATTCAACACGGGTCAAGAGGCAAAAAGATGTGACATCAATGTTTGTAGAAATGCTACAAGTCAATCTACAATTGTCCAGGGATGGTTGATCAACTATAAACGTTAATCCCAGAAAAAGACTGTCCTATACAACCTTATATGGTGTTTCTAGTGTAGTTTTCCCTTCCATAATGATAGACATTGATTGAACAGTGAAACTGAAATATGAACTGATAACCAAATCAAAATTAAATATGTAATAATAAGGAAAGAAGATGCATTGCTTCCAAAATTAAAAAAAAAAAATCCAGGTAAAATATATTCAATTATATGTAATTGGGATTGCTGTAGATCTCCTAAATTTCTTACCCCTCCAAAACAGCTTAGAATAGAAAGGTAGTTATTCATCTATTTCATCTCATCCATTCCTTCCTCCAATTATCCATTCCAAGAAGAGTAAGCTCCAGAAAGCAAATGGAGTGAGACCAGCCCCTGCCCACCCAGTCCACTGTCACATTTGCAACTCTTCATTATTATTAAGAATGAAGGAATTATCCCTTCCAGAAATCCACACTAGATGACTCAGGAAAACTGCCCACGACCAGAATGCAATAACCTTTTTTTAACAGAACAGGAAATTTTGTGGCCTCTCATAAAAAGGTGTTTGCTCATACCAGCTTTCCATCTAAATGGTCATTCAATTTTTCTGTGAGACAAACACACCAAAAGCCTGAAAAAGAGAATTCATGTTTTCATGAAGAACTCCCCCACCAAGTCACTGATATTTAGGCAGTATTTATACTTAAAAAGTATCTCAGAAACGACTCTGTCGCTGTCAACTATTCTTATATGGGGGGTGGGGTGAGGGACACACAAGGCCAGGAATCTCTATGAGCAAGCTAGCTGCGCCTCCACGGAGTCCCCAGGATCAGGGGGCTGAACTAGACCATGGCCGCTCTGGCAGCCTCTCAAACATAAGCCGCAGAGCTCTGGCGAGAAGTGTGGGTTGTAGCCGTGAGCTGCTTTCGCTTTAGCTCCATTTCACAATCCTGGAGCTGGGAATCTTCATTTACTGGTATTTTCTCCAAAAATGGGTTGAATCCAACTGGATTAGGCACTAGATAATGCTACTGTGCTCTTGCAGGGTGACATATGTCCTGTAAGAGGTCCACTGGGCAGCTTTTCTGAGAAAAGCAAGATCCCTCCAGAGCTCTTAGACCGTACCCAACAGGCCTCGGAACAGTAGTGGGTTAGCCCCACAGCAGCCCACCCATCCGATCAGCACAAAGACTGTTCTCAGGACCAAGTCAGTAAGACATAGAAGCACTTTGTCTACGATAATGCAGCCTATGAATACTATGATTATTATTAATAACAACCAGCTAAGAGGAATGCTTTCAGTCTAGACCAATCCAACCATGTCAGAGTCAATCAGCCTCTGGAATATGTCCTGTTGCAGAACTTCTAACATTCGAAAAATAGCCTTGACCAAAATGGACAAATGGTGTGAGGGTGAGGGAATAAAGCCAGAGAGAAACTCTTCATATCTCTTTGTACAGGTCACTAACTGCTCCACAGTCATTGGTTTGAGACTGGAAGGGACCACAACCCAGAATCAAGCAAGAGGGAAAATGAAGGACAAATGACATCAAGACAGAATCAGACGCAATTGAAAAACAAAATGATAGCTGATCTCCTCAGTTATAACATGGCTGAGCCCCAAACCCACAGACTCAGCCTCATCACGTTAAGGTACAGAAAGCCCCATGAGAAATAAAGTTGTTCTAGTTTTTCACCTGCCAGAGAAAAGAGATACACAAACACATGTGTAAATAGACATGCATCCAAAAATAAAAAAAGAATCAAAAAGGGGAAGGCAAAGCTGGCCCCACCCAACCCTTCAGTCTGAAACACAAACACCCAGGGGCCCTAAGAAGGAAGGTTACAGGTTCTGATTTTGCGAGGGACTTTCCCTAGGCAGGGCCTGATGGTTATCCTAAGGCCTGCTGGGAGGAAGTGAGAGCTTGAACACTCGAAGAAGATGACCATGTTCACGACCCACGATGCCTAAGGGATGATTCTTCAAAGTACAATGCCTTTTGGGCCCCCATCCTGGAGCCTCAGAACAGGGAGCAGGCCCTTCACCAAGCAGAAACCGCCACAAAGCCAGGCAAGTTGGGCTTCTGTGAGCAACCCCCTGAGTATTTGACTGGTTTTCTCCTGTCCGCTTCCTGTTTGTAATTCTTTCCTATTTATCCATTGGAAAAACCTTTTTTTTCCCCCCAACTTTTGAGCAATCAGTTAATTCTTCCTGGATGAACAAACCCTTTCCAAATACGATGGATTGCACTTTTCTCAGAAACAAAACAATTTGGACACTTTACTAGGAGAACTGTGTTTCAGAGTGTTTATGTTCTGATCTTAAAAATGGACTGTATTTAACCATCTTTGCTTCATAAATCAGTCAGCTATATTGTAAAACATTTACTTCACTGTCAGTGAATATTTAATCAGTCATTAGAGTCACGTCAGCAAAAGCACATTCTCTGGGACCCTCTGAACACATGTTTCCCTGGTTCTCTAGCTAAATGCATGCTTTTACCACACAGATGATGACTGGTTCTGAATAAACCATTGGTCAGTAATCTTGCCTCTTTCCAAATCAGAGAAGTCACAGGACTACAGAGTCCCAGTTGAGTGGCAGAGGCTGTTCAAGCACCAAGCCAGGATCTGCACTCTGACCCAGGAATACGCCTGGAGAAACACCAGGTGACATGAGAGACTAAGGGCTTTCCAGGAAGGTCACCAGAACCATTTTATTTAATTGTGTCCCCCTTCAGTAAAATTCTCTCCAAGAAAGTAAAGCATACCTTTAAAAATTACCATATTCAACTAGAGTGATTCGATAAAAAGTTTTACCCCCATAAGAGAGATTACTGGTGATCCTGACCAACTTCAACTCCACCAGGGACCCAAAGTCTTTGTCACCATGATGGACTTGGTTAAAATTCCATGCTGGAAAGATCTTAATATCTTGGCAGCCTAAGGTAGAAAGGCTACAACTCAGGAATGTACAGGGCCAATTATGGGAAAAAAAGAAAATAATAGGAGCTGACCAACTCACAAAGTAGGTAATTCTTGGAAATGCAAGGCTTTTAGAGACAAAATCTGACCTACCACGACTGGTTCTCCCCATGCACATGTTATCTGGGGTGACAACTTCTTGTTTGATGGCAAAGTAGTCAGTCTGCAAGGTGTCTGTCTGCAGAGGGTCCCGGAGAATGACGGAGGGGTAGTCGTTCTCATACTTGAGAGAGAGGAGCTCCTCTGAGCTGATGGGATGGAGGGTCTGGTAGGACTCAGTGATGAAGCTGGGTTCTGAGAACTCGGAAGGAGGAACACACTGAGCATGCTCGATACCATAGCCTGGAAACAGAGTGTGTGCAATTGGAGAGAGGAGAGATTTGCACTTGGAATAAGCGGTCCCTCCCCATACACAATGATCCCCCAAAGTTAAAACAAGCTGCTACCTTAGAGACCAGAAGGGAAACCTTTTAAATCAGAAGGACCTGGGTTTCAACCTTGCTCCACTACTTAATAGTTACAGCCCTTGATAAGATACTTCCCTTTTCTGACTTAATTTCCTCATCTCGAAAATAGAAATGATTGCAATCTCCCTCAAAATTCTGTGATGGAGACCAAATGACAGTGTACATGCAAAATGCCAAAGGACATTTCTGGCACAGTAAACTCTTTACAGACAGAAGTTAAAGTTGTTATAATAAAAATGTTAATAAAGTAAAAAGATTAAATGTCAACAAATCTATTAAAAACTCCCTTTGAAAGGAAGGCCATCAGACAAGACAGCTCAACCCTGAGTCCCTCCCTCAAGCTAACTCTCCAGCGTAGCTAGATCTCTTCCACTAGAAGGAAAAAGGCTTGATTTTCTGTAATAGTGTGTGAAGCTGCTTGGCACACTCCAGAGGAAAGATTTCAAAGGAAAACTTGGAGTATCTACTAGTAAAAAGCTAAGAACCAGGGTCGCTAACCCAGATTCAAATATGATCAAAAGTTTAGGAGTCAAGTTACAGTCTGACTTTCGTGTTGTAGTCTCTCTGACTTTCATGTTAAACATAGAGAGATCCTTGTGTAGGGACTTGCAAGTTAATAAAATATGTAAATAGGTTGGAGCCTTGTGCTTTGTGGAAATCCTACAATAAAAAATAGCCTACATTTAAGAAGTGTATTTCTATGTATTATTTTCTATAGACTTCCCACAAAGGAGCCTGAGGTCAGCTTCCCTAAGCTGCCACGACAGTGAGCAAGGGAGGGGTGAGGGAGGAAAGGTGGAGGATGGACTTACTAATGAAGTAATCCGAGGTATAGCGGGATTCTGGATAGGTGGGGTTGACTCCATTAACCTGATATGGCTTCACGTCCTCTGCAACAGAAAGGATGGGGGACAAACAAAGAGGTCAACACACAAATCATACTTAGCCCGAGAGGATCTTGGATAAAAGGACTGCAATGATCTCAGCCTCCCTTCTAAGAAATGTGCATGTTCACTCACTGAGCTGGTGTCTGAATTTACCCTGACTGGGCCTTGTCTAGAGATGAGATCACAGAAGTATGGGTAAGCTGATTATTTCAGTAGCTGCAAAAGGGGATTTATTATCTTGGAGAGAGAATCAATGAGTAATCTGTCAGGGTCTCTAAGGGAAGACATTCAGCCTCATTATAATGCCTGCATGTACCACATCAGCAATAAAGCTGAAAGACATCTTGGGAAGTTCCCAGAACTTGAATGAGTCCCCAACCCTCACCATCTTGCAGAAACAGACTGCAGTGTCTAGACAGGTAGACTGTATATCCTCCATCTCCTCTTCTAACAAAAGTTTGGTTTTTGTTTTGTGTATTTTCCTCAGATTTCAAGTTCAGGTGTGGGTAAGAAGCAGGACACTGGTCATGTGACTGGTAACTATGACAGGGTTCATGCAAAGAGAGAGGAGCCCCAGAGACAAAGTTCTGCCCAGATGCCAACTTCCATAGGAACGAGTGAGAAATGTGGAGGCGGGGCTACTGAGCATGGAAAGGCTCTCCACAGAGTTAAGGTAACTGTGGGGACCCTCTCATTACCCTGGAATCCAGTGGTGTGGCCTCTAACCATTGTATGAAAGAGTGTGATCGTGTTTCACTGAAGAATCAGACATAAAGAGAAAATGTTGGTTTGGGTTTTTCCTCACGTATTTGATAGCTTGTAGAGAGCAGAGGTTGCTGGGAAAACAAGTTTATGCCTGCACAGAAAAACAGTTCCCAGTTGAGATAAAATGATTAAACTTTGCTTTCGCAGCTTATCAGATGGAAACATCCCCTGCACCTTTGGCCTTGCACCCCACCCCAAACAGCTATGTTCTTCTGGTGCTGTGTAGCATCAGTTTAATTACAGAACAAAAGCTGCAGCCTCAGTACAAACATCTAGCTCAGCTCTTCAAGGATCTGAAGAGAGAGTCTTACTGCTTCTCTCAATGAGGGTGGAATGATATGACTTTTGCTATCGAGCAAACTGAATTATTTCCTAATTCGCTTCTATTATTCCTTTGCAGTACAGTAAGCCAAATTTGTCTTGGGACCAAGAAGTTCCCCTTCGGGTCCATATTATTATACAAAGAACACAGAACAGGAAGTTAAAGTGAAAAGAACTAAAGTTAAAAAACAAAACAAAACAAAGCACAGTTAAGGCAATGAGTGATAGGAAGGAGGAAACGCCAACCCATCCTCATTTTACAGATGGGGGCAGTGCGTGTACATGTCCATCCAGTCTCTCAGGGGTGCTTAGAGAATCCAAAGAGAAGGTGAATTTTAAAGCATTTGGAGACAAGGAGATGTTATTCAGATACGAATTACAACTGTACTCAGGGGCAGGCCTACACACACCGGGATGCTTGGCCTCTCCACAGCCAGAAATAGAGGAAAATATTGTACTTGAATATATTTGGGCAACAGTCTGCTAGAATCCTCTGCTGTGTTTACAAGCCAAGGGTTACATCAGATCTGTGAGAAGCTGGCCATAGCCTTTCCCTCTATAAACAGGTTGCTCACGTCAACACATGTGAGCGGGAGCTTGTGCATGGACAGACGAATGCATCGGTGCTTCGGGGAAGCCTGTGTGGCTGCCAAGGAGAGATCCGCCTCGTTCTTGACTTGTGTTTATTTATTTATTTTTCAGCAGAAGCTGAAGAGAAGAAGAAAGATAAAACTTCTGTGCCCAAAGGAGTCGAATTTGGGTCTCTGGGGTGCACTATAGAGTAGCAAATTTTCTTAAACAAAGGAAGGTATTGTATGGAATAAAAGTGCTAATCCTCAGCTTTGCTCCCTGCCCCCAGCGTCTGTACCCAGGGTTGGAGCTGGTGACCGCAGGGAAAGGGTGGGCCTGGGTCAGAGAGGGCAACAGGCTGCTAGGCTTACAGTCAGCTGCAGGGCACTGCTGACTGCTGGTAACTGCAATTTATTTTAAGAAGAAATTCGGAAAAATAAGCGCAAAAACACCCAAGTTTGCCGCCTGCTGCTGTTTCTATACTCGGCCAGGACTGTGGTACATGAGTCACTTGGTCCAAAAGGTTGGAAGAGGCTGGTTGGGAGGCCATGTCATTACAAGGTTGCAACACGGTGTCCTGACATAACCCCAATTTCTGCTTCAGATGAAAAGGTGCGCTGCACTAGCCATCCCAGTCAGGCAGAGGAGCCCGTCTGGCTCATAAGCTCTGAGAAGCTAAGCTTTCTGAGGGACATGGCCAGGTATCACCCTGCCACGGATCAAGGGAGTGTAGTTAAGACTGCCAGGGAAAAAAAAAACTTATCTTGGAGTTGTCTGTGGGCACCGCTTGTCCAAACAGTGCATGTGTCTGCGATAAGGACTAGGATCAGAACTTTGCATACCAAGAAGTTTTAGGAGTATAATCTTGCTAAAGATTAACATCTGAACCATCAACACACGAGAAAAAGAAACTACATTTATTGAGCACCTGCTCCATGCCAAGCACCGTGTAGGCAATTCTCTGTACACATGCACACTGTGCTAGGACCCCATGGCTAACGGCATCGGGCTCCCACCAGCAGGTGTATTTCCCCTACCTGCTCCCAAATAAACCCACCTCACCCTGGCCTGCATATTTACCTTTCTGCAGGATCTCAAGATGTTCCCATAAGATGTCCCCAACGAAGTCTGGGGCCAGCTCCAGAAAGCAGTCTTTGCCCAGGGCACAGAGGGCAGCTCCATTCATACAGAACTTCTGGAAGTCAACACCCTTCAGGCTGAACTCATTCACGGCCCACATCACCCAGTCCCGAACGTGGGTCTCTGTCCACTGCCGGGGATCTGGGGAAGGGATCAAATGAAGATGAAGCAGGTTAGGTTCTGAGCAGACACTAACAGACCTGAGGTGAGCTCAGGATGCTCTCTGATATCTAGAGTTAGGAGGCACCAGCCTGTGATGGCAAGCCCATGCATGTCATGGGCACCTCCCAGAACCTTCCTGCTGCATTCAAGATCCCCACCTTCTCCATCTTGCCAGACAGGCGATCACTATCAGCAGCCAAAAGTTAACACCCCAGAATTCTCTACCCTCCCTCCAAATAGTCCATGACTCTCCTCTCTCCCTGCCTTAGTTCCATTAGAATGTTTTGGTGGGTTTTGTTTTTTTTAAGCCTGGGACAAGGGAGCAGATGACTTCCTGAATGGCAATATTAACAGTCAAGTGCGTTCTGGCAACTGCACCAGTTCTCTCTCCTCTGAACTCTTACACTTGAGACCATTGTCTTCATTATTTTTATCTTAATTATGGTAATAATCATAGCAATTAGTAACAGTTAAGTCACTCAAATACTAATTAGTAATAACAATATTATTAGGTGCTGGTATTAGGCCAGATACCTTGCAATATACATGCACCTCACAGCCCTATGCTGAGCAGCACTGTAGAACAGATAATATATAATCTTCATACATGGCTCGAGGCTTATTTTGGCTACACAAGTTCATGACGCTTAAAAAGTTGGGATGATGGCAGTGGCCACAGCACTGCCAACCTGATCTCAAGGTTACCCTGTCAACTCTTGCAGGATGAGTTTATTAAGATACTGGAAAACCAAGTAATCAGAATTCATTTTATTCTGTCTGTGATTCTAAAGGATGCGGGGCATTGCTGTCAGCTGAGGTTTGTGGATACGAGTGTATGCAGGAAAAGGTATATAGATAGTCACAGAATTTATCTAAGGTTTGGGTTTGTCTAAGCCTTAGTTTCTTATCTAGCAGAACTGGCCTAGTCCACAGACATTACTGTTCATACTCATAAAATAAGGGCCTTTCTGTTCTCAGTTGTTCTGGTCTCAATCCCCTGGTGAAGGCTGAAGTGTTCTTCAGGCATTTCATCTGACAGTTCTAGTCCCTTCCATTCCTGAATAAACCAAAGCATAAATACAGTTCACCAAAGCACGTGGAAAAGAATAAATACTCAGTAAGTTCCAAGGAAGGTGGCTAAGTTCATCCAATGGAGGCCCAGAATGTGTTTTCCAAACTTGTCTGTACTTTGGAATCACCAGAGGGGCTTCAAAAATACTGACACTTCCAGTAATTGTTCTCAGCACAGTTGTGGAATGTTCTGAAAATTCCAATTCTAAAGATACAAACAAGTTTGGGAACCAGTGCCCAAAGACCAAGATGGCAGCCACAAGCCTGGGAGATGGAGATGCATGAGCATGTGTGGTGACATTTGTGTGAACAAGACATCTGCAACCGTCAGTAGCTGCTGACTGAAGTGTGGTCAGTAACCATGTCTATCTCACACTACAGATAATAATACTAGTTTCAGTCAAAAGTCTGATTCCACCCTCTCTTTTTCCAACTACCAAACATACCTTTTGGAATTCCCAATCGTTGCTGCTCTTTTGAGAAACCACTGAAAGTAGCTTTCAATGCTTGAGACATCATTTCTTTGCTGCTTGGGGTTAACAGTGGGACGTCTGCACATTCCATATCTGTAAGAAAGTAACATGTTGCACATGAAAAATAAAAACTAAACGGGTGATGAGAAGGGTAGCTAGGCTTATTATGGTGATCACTTCATAATATATATAAAAATCAAGTTATTATTATTTGGGGAAAGACTGTTTGAACTTAATATTATATGTCAATTACACCTCACTTTAAAAACCTAAATGAAATATAATAGGGCATGGAGAGTCTAAAGAAGACAAATTGAGAAATAACAGTTATAATATCCTCACTGGGGCAGGTACACTTTGGGGGACTTTCCATACCATGATGGGCCCCTAAAAAAACAGACTCTTTACTGGAATGTTCTATATCCCTGACAAGCAAAATATGCTTATTCTTTCTATGCAGCTCTATTTTCTCACCCATAGTCCCTACATATCCTTACTACTCACTAAAAGGATCAGTACTACTCCTTACTTCCAGTTACATATGAAGAGGAAATAAAATACTCATTCATTTGACAAATCATTTCTTAACACTATGTGCAATGAATTAGAGGAACAGCAGTGAACAAGACAGAAATGATCCCTTCCCTCATGAAGATGGATCTCAGATTATGGCAGGGGATTCGGTCATTAAAACACTGTTTACACAGCTAAACATTCAAATACAACACCAGTAAGGGCTTCAAAGAGGAAGGAGAATATGTGAAACTAACATATTACAGAAATTCCTGCAAGTCTGGAAGAATCAGAATAGGTTTCCCTTAGAAGAGAGAAGTTTGACTTGAGAGGCAAAGCACTAACCAGAGTGAAAAAAAAGGACAAAATACTCTATACCAGTGGTTCTCAAAGTGTGGTCCTCACACCGGCTGCATCAGCATTGTGAGAAATTGTTAGAAATGCAAATTCTCAGCCCCACTCCAGACTTCCTGAGTCAGAATCTCTAGGGAGTGGAGCCCAAAAACCTGTATTTTGACACAGATTCCGGGTGATTCTGATGATACCTAAAGTTAGAGAACCATGATCCTAGATAAGAGGAACAGCACAAATGAAGGACATGAGTTGGGGGAGAGGACGAGAATCTTGGTGCATTTGGTATCAAAAAAAAATCAATACAAATGAGACAGAGTAGTCAGAGGACAGAGGAAGGAGGATGAAGAGATAATGAATGCCAAAAATTTATAATTTTATCCTAAGCAAAACAGAGAGGCATTGAGAGTTTTATGCTGAGAAATACAGAGCATGACTACACTTTGTTTTAAGATCACCTATTCTTAATTTTTCAAGAAACTGCCATATTCTTTTCCTCAAAGTGGCTACATGATTTTACATTCCTACCACAGTGCACAAGGGTTCCTCATCTTTTCCAACACTTGTTACTTTCTGTTTTTTAAACAGTAACCATCACAATGAAGGTAGTGGTATCACATAGTAGTTTGCATCTGCATTTCTCTGATGACTACTGATCTTGCGCTTACCCCCATGTGCTTACTGGCCATTTGTGTATCTTCTCTGGAGGAATGTTTTTCAAGTATTTTTAATAAGGTTTTCTCATTTTTTGATAGGGTTGACCATTTGGTTTTGTTATCGTTAGGTTTTAGGAGTTTATGTATGCCCAAAATAATGAAAGCAGAGTCTTGAAGAGTTACTTATCCACTCATGTTCACAGCAGCATTTGTCACAATATCTAAAATATGGAAACAACCTAGTATCCATCAACAGAAGAACAGATTAGCAAAACGTGATCTATACATGCAATGGAGGGTTACTCAGCCTTCAAGGGGAATAAAATTTTGATATACCCTACAACACAGATGAAATGTCACATTATGCTAAGCCAGTCACAAAAAGTTAAATTATATGAGGTATGTGGTGGAATTCATAGAGACAGACAACAGAAGGGTGGTTTCCAGAGTGCAGAGAAAGGCAGGGAATCAAGAGCTATTGTTAAATGGTACGGTTTCGGTTTTACAAGATGAAAAGAATCAAGATGGATGGTGGTGATGCTAGCACATTATGTGTATTTTAATGCCACTTAACTATATAAAGAAATTAATAATGGTAAATTTATGTAATGTTTATTTTATCAAATTTTTAAGTCTGTGAAAAAAAGATAAATGAGAGGATTGCCTTAGCTGCTCTGTAAAGAATGCTTAGGAGACAACTATGAATGGATGCGAGATGATTTATTTAAAACTTTTTGCATTTGTTGTGATGAGTGATGAATGTGGCTTAGACTAAAAAGTAGCACTGCAAAAAACATAAGTGCATGGAGGATTTGCATAGGTGGTTAAGAGCAAGGTATGGAAATCCGGGATTGGCAAGGGTGTCATCCTTTACTATTGCCACATGTATCAATCTGCTATGTTCAACCCCTCCTGTACTTGCAAATCATGTTCAAAACAAAAGATACATAAATATAGCTAAGATAAAACATCCTCTTGCACTTACCTCAGGTAAAATTTACCACAAAAAGTTAATAAAGCAGAGAAGTGACCCAATAATCCCTACCAGCTTTCCTGTGACCTTTAGACAGCCATTCACTTGACTGCAGTAATGTGCAGAAGCTCTCCTCCTCGAGAGCTGAATCTTCAGTGTATCATAAGTAACTGACCGGTCATATGGCTGAGTTCCAGGCTGGACTACTGTAGGAGTTCTCAACTAGCCATCTCTAAACCCTGGCTAGTTAAAAAATTCCCTGCACATATATAACGTGGTATCAGCTGAAGGAAATGGAAACACAGGGGGGAAAAGATGCCAAATGTCGGGGCGGGGGGGGGGGGGGGGAGAAGCAAAGAGATTGCCTCTGTATGTAAAAATAAAGGGTAATGACACTGTAAGAATCAGAAGGGCAGGAGGTACTTTTCTTCTGACCTGCGTACACCCAGCCTCTGCCCTAAAACAACAGGAGGATCCACTCAGCTGCTCTCCCAGGCCCTGCCACTGACGGGGGAATCTCAAGTTCTAAGCAGTGGTGAGTTTGGGTTGCCCTGGGACATGCCCAAAAAAATCTAATGGAAAAATCAACATGCCTCCAGGAAGATTGACAAAATGATGGAAAATCCCAGACTGGGGGGAGGTGGGGAGGGAGAGGAGTAAAATGTTGGTTACGTAATATCCAGTCCTTCAAACAATGGCGTGATCATCAAATGAGTCACTAAGAAGTCATCAGTGCTCCCCTTTCACCCCAGAACAGTTAAGTGTCAGGTCCTGCAATATTTCCTCTTTGAGCAGAAGCTGGTTTTACTAAATAGAAAGGGGTTCTTTTTTTCTTTTTTTTTCAACCCAGAGAATATTTGCTCTGAAAGAAGGGACAAATGCAGCATCCTAGCCCTTAAGACAGGGTTAAACCCAGAGTCAATAAACAAATGTTTGGTGAATTAAATATTTTCCCAAACTGAATCAATTCTCCTTCCCTTCACTTCCATCCAACACAAATTCATGAATTCGAACTGTGTGGGTTTTGTTTTGTGTGTTTGTTCCCTCAGTTAGATTTATGACTCGATGAAAAGGACTTTACTGATGGCGGAAATTGGCCAGGACAACAGATGTGGAAGATGCAGGCCAGACTAAGCGGATGAGCAGGGTTCTGCTGCAAACTGAAACTGAAGGATGAGACAGGTGAGGAGACCCCAGGCATCTTCCAAACAGGACCGTTTAAGCAGTCCAGTGCCAGAAGGATGAGAAGGCCAAGGACAACAGCAGAGAGCCTGAGGAACAGGCTGCCCTGCGCCTGCTTCCTACAGGCCCACGCACTGTGGAAGTGTGGCCTGGACTGGACCGCCGGGCTGACGACTCTCCCTGCAGGCTTGCGCTTCCTGCCAGGGTCAGGGCATTTCCAGGTTCTCACTTGTTCTCTCCAGGGGAAGCAGCTGGAGTTACACTGGCCTGCCCACCTCAAAGCCACCTCCAGCAGCCCAGCCCACATGCCTTCAGCAGCACTGGGGCCCTGCGCCCAGCCTGCGTGTGGCTTATTCTGTCCCTGGGTTTCTCAGTGCTGGAGATCCTGAGAAAGTGCTTATGGCCCACTGGTGATAGTCAACCCTGTACTCAAGGGACAGGTGCAAAGGGATTGGAGCAGTTGAAGAACTGGCTTGGGAGAAAGCATAACCATTGCTCTTGAACCCAGAGGTTTCAGACAGCAAAGTCAGCACTTTATCCATGTTTTTAAAATGTGACCTCTTGGTTGTTTTAAAAAAATAATAATCATTATAAATTTTCATTTGTAATTGAGTCCTGTTTTTGCTTAGTTCTTATAGTCCTATTAGTATGCTGTTTATTCTTGTAGTATTTTCATCAAAGAAATTTATAAAATCTTATTTTTTTCTGAATAAATTCAGAGGATTTTCAAAAAATAGTAATAATAATCAAACCTCTTCTAAGAAAGAGGTAACAATTAGCCAGAATTATCTTTTCAGTAGCACAGATATAGCACAAAAATGATGGATAATCACATTCAAAAGTAGATACTAATATAAAATATTAAACTCATATAAAATGAGTGCAAAAATTCTCTGTGTGCCTAGTTCTGATTATAACAGTCCTATTAATCACACTGATCGACAGCAATAATGAATACATCACACAGGTGGAGAATCTGAGGCGAGTTAGCCCAAGCAGTTATCTCTGTTATTCTTACACATTTTATCTCATTACTTATAATACTTTTGTGTTAGGTACCAAATATTTTTAATTTTAGGGAACGCATCTAGAAATTAAGCAATGCCTCTAATTGTTTCTATGGTCGAGTACTGAAATTGCTTTTGTGTTACTAATTACAATATTTTAAATTCAAACACCACATTCGTCCCAAAATGCCAGGTACATGACTTGGAGATAGACGGTGCCAACATGGTGGAGATGCAAAAGCACAATGACAATGCTTTCAATTAGAAATTGAAAATACAAATAATATTGTAATTATATTAGCTCTTGCCCACTGATTGTTCCTCAGGATCCCAAATCTGAATTGATATTTATAAGAATCACCCTAAGTTTCAGAAAGCAGCGAGGTGCAGAATTAACAACTCTCTGAACCTGCGCTTACTAAATCTGCACAGTATTCAGACCAACATGAGCAGGTAGCTTTGCTGGAATTTCCACAGGCACCATGAGCCAGAGGTATTTTGAATGCAGGAAAATATCTCCTTGCTTGTCATTGTGGCCTAACCATGAACAAAAGATTACACCCTTCCACGAATGTGTTACGTGAAATGTAAAACAAGGGTTTCAATTCAGTAAACTCCAAGTTAAGGGCTGTTCACCACCCATAAGCCTTTCCAGATCAGGATGTCTCCTAATCACAATAGTGCATGTGGGCTGGGCTGCTGGAGGTGGCTTTGAGGTGGGCAGGCCAGTGTAACTCCAGCTGCTTCCCCTAGAGAACAAGTGAGAACCTGGAAATGCCCTGACCCTGGCAGGAAGCACAAGCCTGCAGGGAGAGTCGTCAGCCTGGCGGTCCTGTCCAGGCCACACTTGCAGTGTGTGGGCCTGTAGGAAGCAGGCGCCTTTTCATAGCGGTCAATTAAGTTGCTAAAAACCGAATGGCTTATATCAACATTGCTATGTAGAACCTTACCCTGAAACATGGTATCTAAGCCTGAGGGAGCATTTGTTCAGAAAGAACTTCAAGACCTAGGTCTTAGTAACCTGAGAAGTTTCTCCTGTTGTCATTCTCAAATATATGGTAGAAAAATCTGGAGCATCTGGTATCCAAAAATCTGGAGCATCTGCTGTCCCAGCAATAAGGGACAGCCATGGTCCAGCGGTGCAAGGTATGAGCTGCAGTCTTGCACTTCCATTAGGCAGACCCAGCCAGAATGGGGTACTAAGTGTTACGTGTCTCACCCAGAGACAATGCGGGTTCGATTCCCCTTCCCTGCCATAAAGCAAGCCATGTGAGTATTTTTTATTCCCAGTGCATATAAGCTCTGTGTCAAGTGTACAACAGCATTACATCTAAAGAAACAACAAACAGACCTTAATTAAACATGATTCAGACAAAAATCTAGCACATTCTGTTGGAAAAATGATGCCAGTAGACTTGCTCCACACAAGAATGCTACACACTTTCAATTTTTAAGAAAACACCCTATCTGCTAAGCTCCATGAGAGAAGCACAATAAAAGATGGTAGAAAAGGACGCCTTCCATCTAAAAGCCTTCACATGGACCATTCCACAGTGTCCTCACAGGGCAACTACTCAGGGGTCTGGAAAGTACCACAGATGAGAAAAGCAAGACTCCAATACATCAAAAGCTTGGCCTGAAGTCACAGAGGTGAGGGGATCCAGCTAGGGCTGGCCCCCAGTCTTTCAACTCTTCAATTCAGGGTCTTTCTACTCTAATCTACTGTTGTCATAAATAGAAAGAGATCAGAAAATGGGATTTTTTACAGCTGAAAGCAAACTTTTATTTCTTAGTTTGAAAATTGATATATTTAAGGAAATAATTAAAAACTTAAACAAAACCATTCCTGGGTAGAAAAAATCCAGAGTTTCATATGGCCAGCTTCATAAAAACATAATTAAAAGCCATTTACAGAACGGGCTGTAATCTCTTCCTTTTTTGGGACTGAGAGTAGTGCGGCTTCCTTCCTTCCATACAAAGTCACACAGGTTAAATGACAGTCCGGCTTCCTTCCCTGCCTATGTTCACCCCTGAGTCACCCTGATGGGCAAATGCGCACATAATATAAGGTTAATTAGTTACTTAAAGACTTACTAAAATAAATTTTTTTAAGTGAAAGAAAGCCAAGAAGCAGCATTCTGGTTCATCCAGGAAGGAACAAAGAAGAACTGTGCCAATTGGAAAGATTGGGGACCCTGAAGACAAGGAAAGATCTAATGGGGACATGCACTGGGCTTGACTTGGCTCACTCGTCAGAATCCATGGGTTCTTAGCTTTGCCTCTAATGTCATCACCCTGGGTAAGCCATTTAATCAATGCAGTTGTAAAAAGAAGTCTATTAATAAAGTGTCTCCATCCCTCATAGGGTTTTAAATTTTTCATTATGGCTATTTCCAAACATATGCAAAAGTAGAGAGAACAGTAGCATGAATGCCAGGCTCTATCAGAACTACCAGTTTTAATTTCATCACCCCCAAGACATACACTGAGGAACTACCTGTGAAGCTAATCCCAGACAACATGTCATTCCACCCACAAGTATTTTATTGTCACCGGGATATTTTTGAGATAAAGGAGGATCTGTGTATGCAAGCATACGAGAGCCAGATCAATTCAAGAAAAAAAGACAAGGCTCCAGTGATTTCCACGGTGCTCAAATCTAGGTCCAAATTAAAAATGTTGGTTCATGTGAACCAGAGAACTACTTTTTTTTTTAATTAAATGTCTTAATTTTTTCACATTATTGTTAATTTTTGCACAGCATTTGATTTCTCCCCTCAGATGTAGTCCCTATAGATCTCCAGAGAACGCCTTTTAAGACAACACTATCGTGATCTGGAGTATGGTGACCTACGATCAGAAAGTGATGGCTTCAGATCAGGGTGGTGCTAAGCCAGCCCCTTTGATCCCTCCACTAAAGCGGAAGAGCACAGGGATGGCATCTCCTAATTGTCAGTGTTCTCACGACCTTATAGCTGTAACAAGGAGTTTGCAGCTGAAGGCTGAGGACTCTGCCACATACTCAAAGGCAGTTGCCCAATGGCCCAGAGCAAGGGAGAAGGTACCTCTACTCCTTCAGGCACCCAAAGAGAGAAATGACCGCTCACTCTGATTCTGGAGCTCATCCTCCCTGGAGACTTGCTACTGGTCTCTAATACTTACCCAAAGAAGATGCCAATATCTCAGAAGAATGGGTAAGGGAATCTCAAAAGCAATCACTATTGCCCTCTCACATGGAAGAGAGGATCGTATAGAGGGCTGCAGGGGGCCCTTCTTTCTTCTACACCCGACTCCAAATCCTGTAGTCATTCCCAAAAACTTGGTGGACGGGACTTGCAGCTGAGGAGGCTGGCATAATCCACCAGGCTTCCAGCGGAGGTTAATGCAAAGAAGGGAAATAAGTGTCTCTCCTCAGCCCTTTTGGCTCTGTTTTCATATATACAATGGGTGACAAAGCAGTGAGGGGCAAGGAAGACTCCTGGCTCCTGCAAGAACTAAGTAAGACATGGCTCAGTGCCCTTACTGGGCCACCCATTGCAAGCACAGCTGATAAATGCCCCAAATAATGGACACCCAGGACCCTGACACAGGCTCCTATCAATGAGTTGGACACACAACTGGGTTTCTTGCCTTCTCTCAACACCCCATTCTTGAAGCCACCAGCCAATAAAAAACTACTCCAAAGAAGGGAGAAAGCAGCTGCACAGAAAATCCAAGGACTTGAATGACCAAAAATGCAAGCCTGTCTCCAATCACAGCATCTCAGCCCTGCTGCCAACGCCCACGCCACCAGGGAACAGACACTGCTTGGGTACAATGTGCCAACTCTGAAGTAGATGCCTCTCCTCGGAGGGAAACAGCCCCAGGACAAAAGAGATGGTCCTCTGAGAGGCACGGCATGCTCCCAGGTCCTGCAGCCAGGCCTGGGAAAGCAGCCTGCAGAGAGGGCTGAACACACCAAACATCTGTAGGAAGTGACTTCAGTCTTCTCTCTCCTTCCCCTCATCTACCCCCTGCCCCATCCCCCAAAAGGAGTTTTAACACATTATTACCACTGAAGTCCTGAGGATTTGGTGACTCACCAGGCTCACACATGGTTCCAATGAGCCCTTGACCATTACATGGTAGGGGAGCAGGAAAAACAAATGAAAGCAGTTGTAATTCGGCAGCGCCGCAGCCCAGACCTGCCAGACAAAAGGGATTGCAGGCATGTTCCCAAATTCGCTCAGGCACCTGACATGCAAAAGCTATTTTTAATCACTGGATTTATTTCTTTCCTACCCCTCCACCATCCTCCACCTCAGCAAATGTTTCGAAGTCAGAGCAAACCCCAAATCAATTCCAGGTGTTCAGGGAAACCCAGAGAGGCTCTTCCGCTCCAGGACCTGAGCCAGAAAGCAGAACTGCCCCCTGGGTCCCGCAGCTACATTTTCTTGCTCTTTCCTTACAACAGTTCAAATCTCCCACCCTAAACACTGGGCAAATGGCCTGAAAGAGGAAATAGTTGAATGAATGGGCCCTGCCAGAAAGACTCCTTAACACCCGTTTTCTCTAGCAGCCCCGGCCAGGGAAGGAGAGCGAGGCAGGCTCTGAAGAACACTGAGATGGGGTGTTTCTTTATTCTCTGGGATTCTCTGCCTGCCTGACCGTGAGGATTAAATTTTGTCTGAAAATGCCAAAGCTGAATATACCGTAGGTGCTTACTATGTAATTGATGATTTGAACTACAACCGTGAAAAGCATCTTGTAAAATATAAAGACTAAATAGTTACATAATTTTATTCCCCAATGCTTGGAGAGATAGCAAGGAGGACTCTGGCAGTTCCCCCAAGTCCAACTCAGCAACTGAGAAAAATGAGGATAAAAATCATACTCAGAGACACTGATAGAAACTGACATTCCCTGAATCTGTCTTTGTCTATAACACAACATACTAATTTCTTATCTATAGTTCATCCTCTAATCTGCATTTTTGTAGCAATAAAAAAATCATCTAAAATATATGTTTTGCCATGACAACACCACACAGCTTACAAGATCCAGGGGACCTATGACGCTTACTGGTTTTGAACACTTTCTAAGGGAACTATCTTAGTGTCAACAAGGCAGACAACAAAAGTAACCACTTGTGATCAAATCCCTCTTCTGTATGTTAGGCATTTGCCAAAACCCAAGCTACATTTCACCTCATCATTTATTGTCCTTAAGTGCATGTCACTCTCACGATATAAAAGAATGTTTTAACTTCTTGAGATTAGGATACCTACAAGGAGACCCACAGCAAGGAAGTAGTGCTTTAGAGTATAAAGTTCTTAGGTGATCATTTAAAGCCATCTACAGAATGCTTCAGATTTCAAATTATTGCCTATATAGGTAATTCCACTTGGTTTCAACCACAAATCATAGAGCCACAGTCTCTATACTACTGAGTAGGAAAGCATCCTTTCAAGCCCATGACTTTGCCCAGAGCCAAGAGATCCTCCTGGTTCTTCCCATACCTTACACTGCCTAGTGAGGGCAAACACCTGCCCAGCCTTCAACTCACAATCAGGTCAAAAGGTACCAACACAGACTACGATAAGCCAACTCAAGAATACGGAGAGTATACTGCATCCTACATCTTGCTCCCCTCCCAGATTGCACTACTTCTATTTTACCTATCAGTCTTTGAAGCCTCACCCTCTGGGAGTCTTAAGGTGTCAGTTAATTATGCTGGTCAATTTATTTTAACTTCATTTGATTTCTATCTATAACCATGAGTGCTGCTCTCTCAATAAAATTCCACATTTTAGACAATTTGTTTCCTATTAGTATCCCAGAAACAAGCAAGCTGGAGTGTTTTTGCCATCTTATAGGTGAGGAAATTGAGGCTGCCTAAGGTTACTTAAGGACTTAACCAAGATGATCAGTCCAGGCAAGTGCTATAACTACAACTCACAGCTAGGTCTTCAGACACTAAAGCCAGTACCTGCTAGCAGAGTTAAAAGCAGGGGAAGCAGAAACGATGGACACAAGAGCATTTCTTTGCTTTTTCTCCATCATTTTCATTACAGAGCCAGTTCCTTCTGGAGAAGGAAAACACCTTGCTCCCTGGGACCCTGCAGACAGGAGCAGCAACACACAAAGGTCAGGGCTCCAGGCTTGCTCTGCCCAGAACCCAATCAAAAAGGCTGGGCCCAGGGCCTATCTGGCACTCGGTCTGGGGGACTGGAGGCAGGACAGGCATGGAAAGGGGCTCTCGGGGATCACCAGGAAGGATAGGCTGGTCAAGGTGGAGCCTGAGGCGTTTTCTCCATGGGCAAAGGAAAAAATCTGGGCAAACAAATGGAGTGGAGTCCGTTTATTTAGGCTGGACGAGGTAAAGTTTTTCTACACTTTTGAACTGTTTGCTCAAGGCCTGCCTCTCCCTCCCACGCAGGAAACAAACACAGAGACAGGCCTCTTCTAGCGAGGGCTCCAGTGGCTGAACGCAAACCAGGAGAAAGGCAGAAGGAGAGGGGCTTGAGGGAAACGAGGGAGGAGAAGTCCTGGGCCTGTCCACTCGGGAAGCAGATGGGAGGAGCTGGCCAGAAGGAAGTGCCGGCAGTAAAGACATGGCAAGAAGAGGGCAGAGGGAAAGAAAGGAAAAGGCAGAGGAAGAGAATACTGAAATATTGAAACCAGAATAAATGGACAGACAGTAGAGTGGAAGTTGGGCTGGAAGAGCCAGCTACTTACTCCCAATTAAAGATCTTCAGAAAGCAGCATTTTTTCCATTAATTTTAAAAGGAAATTCTCTCTCAACTTTCTTATTTATTTATACATTATATAAATACATTTTTAAACCAAAAAAGGAGTGTTTTTTCCAATGGGAAAAAAAGCCCTGTTTGAGATGAAAGCCAATCTTCAAAAACCCTAAGAGGAAGCTGGGACCCCACACGGCTTGGTGCTGCAGAAAGAAAAACAAAGTGGACATTCTTCCTGTGTTCTAAGGCTTTTTTATGCAGATGTGTTTTTCTTTTAATAAATAAATCTGGACCAAGGAGGAAAAAGCACACTCATACACATTCATACAGTACGACAGTCTGTCTTCCACCCAGGGATACAGGGAGAAGTCCGTTTCCCCAGTCCACAGGCAAATCTTCTCCACTTGCCAAATGCAGGCACTGAAGCAAACACACATACAGAGTGGCCCAAAACTTCCCAGTGCTCGTGAGTAATGACTATTGGAGGCGGTGGCCGGGCTGGCTACAGTCACCATGTCCCAGGAGGCCGGCAGAGCCCTTTCATACAACACTTTATTTAAGCATTCATTTGTTTCCTACTTTTAGTGCCACTCAATTTCACTCCTGGACTGCAATAATTTTTTTTTA